GTCCCGCCATCCTGTCCTGCCAGGAGAGAGACAGGTTCTGTGTGCCTGAGATGAATGTGCTTTAGTGCAAAATGTGTGCATCAGCACAACAAAACACCTGGTGAAGATGCTGCTGAAGCTGGCCAGAGAGTGTGATTATTCACAACGAATCAAGTTCTGTACCAGTATGGGCTGAAAAGACTCTCAACAAGGAAGAAAAAATATTTTTTGTTGCCAAAGCAACAAATAAACAAAAGACAGATTACAGTTTGTAAAGGCACACAGGGACAAAGGCCTTAATTTTTGGGGACGTTAGTCACAGTCAATGGATGATGGAACCCAGTAATGCAGGTAAACATACTGCCAAATTAGTTACAAAATGGCCTAAGGACAACAAAGTCAATGTTTTGGAGTGTCCATCACAAAGGCCTGATTATTAGTTTTAGGCCCTGTACAGACGTAGCCTGGTGTTTGAAAAAACGAATATCTGCGCAAAAAAATATCGCCGTACATACATGTTCGGATAGAGAAAATGATCGTCTACATGAACCCGGTGATGTTCACCACAGAGCGTTGTAAAGAATATGCCCAACCCATAGGAGGCAGTGTAGTGCAAAGGTGAAACGTATATCAGCCAATCACAACCCTTCAAAGCAACCACAACTTCCTGTTAGTATTGAATCATGGCGCCTGGAGGTTCGTTTGTGTGGACAGACCGCGAGGTTGAACTACTATTAAATACCGTGTTGGAGCAGTTGTGCTTGTAAAAACAAGCAAGCAAAAATTACCTGAACCAGCGTTACAATTAGTACTTCCCTAAACGCAGTCATTTTCCCTCCGAATGAATGGGCAAACAAAAACAATTGTCGCACATGTGACGTCAGCGCCGCGCTGCACCATCTGTCGCAGACATAATGCGCATATCTCCGGTTCCGAAAGTCCACACGCAAACCCGAAAGAGGAGATTTCTCAAATCTCCACTTTGGGCGGAGTTTTTGTTATTATTCGTTTATAGTTACATCAACCGGAGTTCACGTGTGGATGAAAGGCCACACCGCATGATAAACTATTCGGTTTTCCTGATATCCGGCTACATGTGTACAGGGCCTTAGTAAACCTTTATTTTACCAGGGGAAAAAAATCCCATTGAGATTAAAAACCTCTCCTGGCCAAGATAGCATGTACAATTACCATACCATACCACTTTATTTATAAAGCACTTAAAACAGCAACAAGGCCAACCAAAGTGCTGTGCACTAAATTACAAAAAGGAACTAAAATAAAAAAAAACTTGAGAATATGAAACACTTTATTATACATTAGTGCAAACTAATAATAACATGTACATGTAATGAAATTAAGCACAAATCTCCTCTGTGTCAATTTAAAAGCTCTCAAAGATAACAAGTCTGTTAGTTTCCAGTTGTTCTGCAACATATTCCATGAAAAAGGTGCAGAATACACACAAAAAAAGCTTTTTTACCCATTTCAGTACAGACAAATGGAACTGAAAGGAACAAAATGTCACTTGAACGGAACGAGTAAGGAACAGCACTTTTCTGTACAAGTAGCTAACATATGTACAAGGGTAGTAATCCAAGTATTGCCTTGAATATACATTCAGAAATGCATTTTAATTGTTCAATCATTTAACAAATAGAAATAATTTAGGGAATCCTAACAGACATAAAAAAAAAGTTTAGACTGACTTTATGTCAGCTAGTGAGAAAAATATGTTGTATGGTTTCAGCTTATATTTTTTAAGACATACGGTAGGATCTTGCTTTTTTTCCCCCCACAGATTATGTATTTTTGTGTTTTTCTTCCCTCAGGTAGAAAAAGAAGGACTTGACACAGGCTTGGTCCTTCATATCGAAGACAAAAAAATTGCTGACATGGTTTTTAATTTTGGATCAAAAAATAAAACAACCGTTTTAGTTGTGTCATTACGGCAAGAAATGAAGTTGCTTCAGGATCGCACCCCCCGTTTATTACAGGTACATTTTGCTTTGTTTACGAATTATTTACACAGATACGTCTTGGAAAGTTCAGATGATGAATCTGAAACTTGCAACATAAATAAAAAAGTTATGTCTAATTTAAACTAAAGCCAAATTACAGTAATATTTAATTTAAATGAAAAAGAAAAGGCCCAAATAAAATTAACCCTGAAGGAAAAAATATAATTTTTTCCATTTAGTTTTGCATAGCATGTGCTTTTTATTTGCAAACTAAAAGTAATTTCATCTACTCAATTATTTGACACAGCTTAAAAATAAAAAAGGCTAAAAGTTTTTTTTTATGCCAGTAGGCATTTTTTGTTTAATTTGAAAGCCAAGTAATCCATTTTTAGTCTTTTAGCTAATTGATTTGGCCATTTCTTTATTCTATTCTAAAGAATGCACCAACACTTTACATGTTTCGTTTTTTGAAGCCACTTAAAATAGTAAATACTTGCGTCTTAATTGCTTAAAGCATAAAAATCAATCCTGATTGTAAGCCATTTTCCTCTCTTTATATAGACTATTCTGCCTGCCCAGGCTTCAGTCAACATCTCCATCACTCGTTCTTCTTGTTTCACCAACCTCAGTGCAGTTCTCCTCACAGATGGCGTGCAGAAAGGCAGTGTCAACCTGTCCCATTCTTGCTACCCTCATCACAGTCTGGAGGCATTTGTTCTGCACTCTGTAAAAGCCCTGAAAATGCTGCACATTCCCACCAATGGGACTCTTTTTCTCAATGTCGCAGTTACACATTTTCCTGCTGTGGATTTTAGCCTAGAACTGGGACGTTGTTGTTTCAAGGGGAATTTGGGGAACGCCACGGTTTCACTGGAAGAAGTTGGACAGTCTTACACTGTTAATGTGACCAGCTACTGTCCTATGGTTCAGGTAAGAACATTAGTTTTGTGTAATATCACCCTTAGGGAAACAAAGTAAATAATATTGGCGTTATCTATACCTTGATATTTCTTGTTATCAGTTTACTGAATGTGTTAGGAGGTGTTTGAAGTATCTATCTGTCACTTTATACCAAGGTTTATGCAATGACATTTCATCCATCCATCCATCCATCCTCTCTCACGTGTTACTGTTAGGAGCCATTTATTCATTCATGAATATTTTGTTAATGTGCCATTTTTCAGGCATGGGTGGTTTTCTGTATAGCCCTTGTGGGTGGATGGATGGATAGGTGGATGATGGATGGACGGATGAATGGATGGAATTTCATTGCATAAACCTCTAACAGTGCCCTTGTGAACAAATCTGATTGTAGCTTTGCAGCTCCATCAGAGTTGCCTCTGTCCTCTTTGTCCCCTGTAGTGATTTTTGGCCTGATTTGTTCAATTCAATTCAATCCAATTTATTTATATAGTGCCAGTTCACAACAAAGTTGTCTCAGGCCACTTTAAAGAAACACTTACATATATAAAAAAGCCAATTAGTAAAGTTCTCTATTACTTTTATAGTTCAATTGTTTGTTTGTTTTGTGCAGTTTATTGTGCCTCCACATGTTTTCTGTGTTTTTTTTTCTTCACATATTTGGTGGTGCAATGTGGTATAACCAGTTTGTAGTTTTTACAGCTCTACAATAATCTGTACTTCTCCCAAACTTCACCTTTGACATACTTAGTAAATTATTTGACTTTTGTTATGTGTTGCTGTGTTGGGGCTTCATTTTGCTGTGTGATGTTGGAGAGTTTGGAGTATTTAACAGTAGTTTTATGTCCTGTTATGACACTAGTACCACACTGATGGTATAAACTTAGACTTAGATTTTTGAAGGTTGACAGCACTAAACTTTACATTTACATTTTCGTTACGTTCCCCAAACTAGCTACAGGATGAGAGAGTAACAACAAATGATTGCCACGTGAAAAAAGTTTCATGGGTAAATATGTAGAAATAAATAACTCATTAGGTCAAGCAAAAATAAATAAAATACATTTCTTTTAAAAGGAGTAGCCTTAACTAGAAAATAACCTCAAGAAAAGAAAGCATAATCTTATGTCAAAGACAGAATAAAAAGTGACTACTTTCACCTGAATATATTTTGTGATTTGAACAGAAAGCTGAGCTGCATGAATTTATCAGCATTCTTCACTTGTGTTTTTGGCTCAGGGAACAATCCTCCCTCAATCCCTGGCCCTACAGGGGCTCCTGCTGGTTACTCCCTGCCTGGTGACCGTGTCCTCCTCCCTGAGGGCAGACAGCCACGACCTGTCTGTAGAGCTGAGTCAGTCCTGCAGGACTCCACATCTCTCTGGGACCTTCACTCACTCCTTCCCTGGCCTAAAGAGTCTGGGTGTGCCACAGATTATGACTATGAAGGCTACTTCTCCTGAAGGGCCAAAGGAGGCTGGAGCTCTATTTATCAAAGTGGGAACATGCACCATTAGAGCCAAAAAGGTTATTGAGACCAGAGGAGTGCCACAGGGGCTATGGGCTTTAGAGTCATCATGCCCAGTGTTACAGGTAGGATTTATGTAATATTGTATTCACTTCAATGCTTTGTTTTTGCACTATTTTGCTCAGTTACTGTATAATTCAATCAAACTTAGATATTGGTTTAAAAAAACCCTAGCATTCCTTAAATAAATATTTTTGACAGGGACATTTTCTACCAGCGTTGTAAACTAAGATTGGCTTCTGATGAGTAGGAAAAATGTTATAGCCATTTTGGTCAAACCTTGAAAATTACATTATGGCCCATCTCACATTGTATGATCTTATGTGATGTTAGCCCTCAGAGTGTTAATGGTGATGACTCTCAGCTATGACCACATTAAATTTGGACTCAATATCAGTGACACTGGAGGAGTGGTGGCGCAGACGTTAGGGAAGGCGAGCCTGTAATTGGAAGGTTGCCAGTTCAACTCTCCGAACCGACACCATCAAAATGTGATTGGTAAAGGTGAAGCATCCACACCTGCATCCACCTTCATCTGCCCCACTCTGGGCCCTTGAGCAAGGCCCTTAACCCCCACCTTCTGCTTCCCCGGGTGCCCCAGATGGCAGCCCTCTGCTCCACACATAGCTCGGTGGTCTGTGGTTGCGTCAGGAAGGGCAACCGGCGTAAAAACAATTGTAAAGTCTTCGTTCGAGATAGTTTGTAGTGGTGACCCCTGAAGATGGGAGCAGCCAAAAGAATAAAAAAAATTACTAAACTGGTCAAGTTATAGCTATTTTTGTGTTTGCTAAAGTTGATCAGCTATGGCTGTCATCTTAAACTGAGTTTCTCCAAAAGTCAATCAGCTTTAATCAGTGATTACTTTTTGAGAGTTTTAATAAAATCTGTCCTGTGGTTCACAATCTATTTTGCTAACAGACCAACGGGACAGACTCCAAAAGTTAATGACAAATTTTAGACAAAAATTTTGCACAATATATAGCCCTCAAAATATCTGTTGGGAATAACATTAAGTTACTGCTAACACAAACTTTAGTTCAAAATATTGTGTTTTCTGAGTTCAGTTGACTGTGGCAGCCATCTTGAATCAGTTGACTCCACACATTTACTGGTTGTAGATGTGCATTGAATGATTACTTTTCCAGATTTTCCTTAAAGTCTATGCAGTGATTCATCCAAAGTTAGTATGTTTTGTTTGCTGCCA